GGATGGATGGATGGATGGATGGATGGATGGATGGATGGATGGATAGACAGACAGACAGAGGTTCTGGTCCCAGGTCAAGGGTCCAGTATAATGATAGTACACATAATGATGGCAAGTAAGTGAGTAGTAAAGGGAGTGTGTGTGTGTGTGTGTGTGTGTGTGTGTACAAGTGTATGTGTATACATGTGCAAGCATATCTTCTAATTCATTCTCCCCCCCCCACCTTTTTTTTTTTTTGGTTTTTTTGAGACAGGGTTTCCCTGTGTAATTTTGGTGCCTGTCCTGGATCTTGCTCTGTAAACCATGCTGGCCTTGAACTCACAGAGATCCACCTGCCTCTACTTCCCAAGTGGATTAAAGGCATGAGCCACCACCACCCAGCCCGTATTCTTTTTTTAAAGGTTTGTTTGTTTGTTTGTTTTATGTGTATGACTGTTTTTGCCTGCATGTACGTAAGTGTGCCATGTGGTTGCCTGGTCCCCATGAAGATCAAAAAAGACTGCCTCAGATTCCCTGGAACCAGAATTACAGATGTTTGTGAGCTGCCATGTGGATGCTGGTAATCAAACCCAGTTCCTTCGGAGACTAAGAGCTCTTAACCATTAAACCATCTTTCGAAACCCCTCCCTATTTTTTAAAAAAATTAAGTGTGTGTGTGTGTGTGTGTGTGTGTGTGTGTGTGGTGTATGCACTTGAGTATAGGCACACATGTGGAGATCAGAAGACACCTTTCAGGAGTTGGTACTCTCCTCCCAATGTGGGTTTCAGGGATCAAACTCAGGTTGTCAGAAATGCTGAGCAATCTCATTGGCCTATCTTCCTATGTTTTATAAGCCCTCCAGGAGTCAGTTAGAGTGGCTCCATGCTAACATCTAATCCTAATCACCTTCTAAAGCCTTTACTGCTCAGATCTTTCCCTCTTCATCTGTTCCTCTAGATCCAATCTTCCAGTCTCATCCCCAACGCTGTGGCAGAGAACCTTCTGCAATCTCCCTTTCCTCTCTGACCCTATCCCCAATGAATCACAGGGATCTTCTCCCCAAACCTTCCTTCCTCCAACTCACCCCGGTATCCCAGCCTCCAACACCTGCAGGCATTCCCTGGGAACACATCAGCTGAGCAGGCCAGGGAAACAGGTAAGTCAACTGAAGACCTTCACCACTCTTTTTTCCCCTCCAAGTCCAGTCCCCAGTCTCATCTCTATCTCTGCAAAAGACCATCAGCTGCAACCTTCCCTGCTCCCCTATTCCCATCGCCTGTGGATTCCATGGATGTTCCCCTTCTGGCCTTCCTTCTACCACTTGTTGCTTTGTCCCAGCCCACAACTCCAGCTGGCATCCCCTGCTAACTAACCCACAGGTCATGCCTGCCAGGGGACCAGATAGGCTGCCTGCACATGTTCTCTTCTCCCTCTGCTACCCCAGATCCGATCCCTCAGTCTCATCCCCAGCTTGCAGCAGAACACCTGTGGAAGCCTTCCCTGCCCCCTGTTCCCATCTCCTGTGGATGCCCCCCACTCATTGCTTTGTCCCAGCCCTCAGGCCCAGCAGGCTCCCCTACTAACCCATAGGCCACACCTGTTAGAAAAGCAGGTAGGCTGCCTGCAGATCTTCTACCTCTGTTCCCATAGATCCAATCCCACAGTCCCATCCAAAGCTCTGAAGCAGAACAACTGTGGCAGCCTTCCCTGCCCCCTGTCTCATCACCTGTGGATCCCACAGACCTTCCCCTCCTCAACTGTTGCTTTATCCCAGGCCCCAACTCCAGCAGGCACTCACTCACTAGCTCAAAGACCACTCCTTCCATGGAAGCAGGTGGACTGTCTGCAGATCTTCCCTTCTCCTTCTGTTCCTCTAGATCCAACCTTCCAACCTCATCTTCATTGTTATAGCAGGTCTTCTGGGCTGATCTCTCTTCACTGTCTCCCTTCATTCCAATGAGACAAAATAAGTATATATGGTGGAACACTCTGCTTTCCTCCCTCCTATGAACCCCTTCAAACCCCTAGCCTATCCCCATTCCTAAATGTCAGCTCGCAATATCCAGAAGCACATTTTATCTGGAACCTTCAGTGGCCACAACTCTCAAGTCCAAAGAGGATTTCCTACCAGACAACCCATGGCCATCACACTCTCTGAAAATCCAGAGAGAAAACAAAAACCAAAGAACAAAACACCCATCTAACAAAGACAAATCCAGGAATCAGCACCAAAACCTATAATCATCCTAATACCAGATGCCTAGATATTAGCATAAAAACAAAATCAATAACAACCAGGGCAATATGTCTGCACCAAAGCCCAGCTATCCTACCACAGCAGGTCCTGAATATTCCAACATAGCTGAAATACAAGAAAAAGACCTTAAAACCAGCTATATAAAGATGATAGAGGTTCTTAACAAGAAAATGAATAAATCCCTTAAAGAAGTCCAAGAAAATACAAACAGTGGAAGGAAATGAATAAAACTGTTCAAGACCTGAAAGTGGAAATAGAATCAACAAAGAAAACCCAAACTGAGGGAATTCTGGGAATGAAAAATTTAGGAATTTGAACAGGAAGTACAGAGGCAGGCTTTACCAACAGAATACACAAGATGGAAGAGAGAATCTCGGGTGTTGAAGATACAAAAAAGAAATGGATACATCGGTCAAAGAAAATGTTAAATCTAAAATCATCCTGACATAAAACATCCAGGAAATCTGGGACAATATGAAAAGACCAAATCTAAGATGAATAGGAATAGAAAAATGGAAAGAATCTCAGTTCAAATGCCCAGAAAATATTTTAAACAAAATCATAGAAGAAAAGTTTCCTAACCTAAAGAAGGAGATGCCTATAAAGGTATAGGAAGCATAGATTAGACCAGAGGAGAAAAATCCCTTCAGCATATAATAAACAAAGCACTAAACATACAGAACAAGAACAAAGAAAGAATTAAAAGCTTAAAAAAAAGACTAGGTAACATATAAAGGCAAACTTATCAGAATTACATCTGACTTCTCAGTGCAGACTCTAAAAGCCAGAAGGGCCTGGACAGATGTGCTGCAGACTCTAAGAGACCACAGATGCCAGCCCAGTCTACTATACCCAGCAAAACTTTCAATCACAATACATGGAAAAAATAAGAAATTCCATGAAAAAGCCAAATTTAAACAGTATCCATCTATAAATTGAGCTGTACAGAAGGTGCTAAAAGGAAAACTCCAACCTAAGGAGGTTAGATACACACATGAAAACATGGGGAATAAATAATCTCAGACCAAAATCAAAAGAAGAGAATCTCTCCTCTCTTCTCTGTCTTCTTTCTCTGTTTTCTCTTTCTCTCTCTCTCTCTCTCTCTCTCTCTCTCTCTCTCTCTCTCTCTCTCTCTCTC